AGATTATGGCTGTGGCTCACTGCTGACCAGAGGCTGGAAAGCAGAGACCCTGAGGTTCAGCAAGAAGCAGTGTCAGCAGGTTTTGTTTCCCATTTTGTCCTGTTGCTGGTCAACGATGCTTCCTTTCTTCCTTGCAGCAAATCTCTACATACATCACTGTTCCCCCATCACCTTTGATTCAGACCCTGGTGCAGGGGAACATCTTAGTCAGTGATGAGGTGCTGATGTCAGCCATGTCTGCTTTCACATCCTTGGACCAGCCCATGCCAGCAGTGCAGCCCCCAGTGCAGGTAAGGAGCACGTGTCGGTCCAGGGAGTCGTGCTTGAAGGTCATCCAGTTCCACCTCATGGGCAGGGACACCTTCCACTAGACCAGGTTGCTCCAAACTGTCCAACCTGGCCTTGAACACTTGCAGGGATGCTGTGCATATTGCTGGGGTACAGTCCAGGATATGGTTGGCTTGCAGGGCTGCAAGTGCTTCTCATCCACCAACACCCCTGGGTCTTTCCCCTCAGGGCTGCTCTCAATCCATTCACCACCCAAGCTGTGTTTGTGCTTGGGATTGCCCTGACCCAGTGCAGCACTTTGCACTTGGCCTTGTTGAACTTCATGAGGTTCACACAGACACACCTCAAGCCTGTCCTGGTCCTTCCAGATGCTCCATCCCTTCCCTCCAGCATGTGACCACGCCACACAGCTTGGTGTTGTTAACAGATGCTTGTTACTGGTTGCTCAGATCTTTGTAATGTGGTCTCCAGCTTTTTGTTGAGTCCCCATAAAATGTTAGTTTGCTCCAGGGCCATCCCAGAGCACCTGGCACAGGATTGTGTCCAGATGGTTCTGGAATATCTCCAGTGAGGGAGAATCCATCACCTCTCTGGGCAGTCTGTTCAGTGCTCAGTGACTGCACAGGAAAGAAGTTCTTCCTTGTATTCAGGTGGAACTTTGTGTGCATAAGTTTCTGCTGTTACCTCTTGTTTTTTTGGTTTACACCACTGAGCAGAGCCTGATCCATCATCTTGGCACCTCCAAAATCAAGTAATAAAGGCAGTGGGACTTGAGGGCTTGGGTTTCGGAGGAGACAGTGCCTACCTGCAGGCCATGCCAAGCCTCTGCAACCAGCACAGTCCAGTCTGACCTGCTGTGCTGTGTCAACACATCACCACTATTCCTGCAGGTGCCGTTTGATTGGGATTGGGAATGTGTGTGAGGGAGCAACCCCTCCACCTCATGGCTGCTGCATTTTCAACATCTTGACTGTGTCCCTGTTGTGGTTTCAGAGCAGCATGAGTATGCACTCAGGGGCTGGCTACCTGTCCCAGCCCCCTCCGCCACCACCTCCGCCACCGCTGCCTCCTCCTCAGCCTCCGCCACCTCCTGCCCCCAGCATGGGCCCTCCTGGGCAGCCCAGTGCTGGCACTGGGGTGGTGGAGGTGTACAGTGCTCCTGCTCCCATGGCACCAGCCAGCACCGTGGAGATCCAGACCCTGGGTATGCAGCCCTATCCACCCATGGAGGTAAGGCTGTCCACAGGGATCTGTCCTCACAAAGTCACAGAATGGGTTAGACACAGGATGGCTTGGGTTGGAAAGGACCTTAAAGATCATGTAGTCCACCCCCCTGCCATAGGCAGGGACACCTTCCACTAGACCAGGTTGCTCCAAACCCTCTCCAGCCTGGCCTTGAGAAATGTGGGATTAGAGCGTGGGAAGGTGTGTTAGGTTGTTTGACAGCTATTTCCTCTGGGAGAAGGTACTGAACAGAGGGATGTCAGCAAGGTGATGGTTTTGAGGACAAGAGAAACAGCTAAGAGGGACAGAGGACTTGGCCAGCATGGGCTTAGGAGACCTGAATGGTTGTTGTGGTTGAAGGATACCTGCAGGTGTTGGGAGTGAGGGGGAGCTGAGGGGAGGGGATTCACCTCCCAGAGGTGCAGGCTTATGTGGAGAGAAGAATTCAGTCTAAATCTCAAGCAGCTTGATAAGGTGGCTTTTCCTAAAGGAAGGCACAGTGGATTTACTGGTGAATCAGCTGTTTGCAGTCTCCATATTAGCATTGCCATTCACAACAGAAACTCCTGGGTGTGACTGAGGTATGTGGCCTTCTGGCTTGGCATCTGGTCTGGAAATGCCAGTGGTCAGCCGTGGATGGGGAGGTTGGATATGTAGTGATTTGTGCTGATTTCTCAGGGTGGGCAGCAGAAATGCCCTCAAACTGTATCATCCCAGACTGATGCCTCTGTCTCTGAGTGTTCTTTTCTAATCTTAGTGCTGACACAGTCAGCTGTGCTTTGCCACCTGGAGTTTCCTTGTGCTTTCCTTCACATCTGCAGTCCTGCCAGGGCAGGCAACAGGACCTGAAGATCCTGTCTTAGGGCTAGTATGAACCCACAGGGTCAGCAGTAATCCTTCTGGTAACCTGCTCTGGAGGGATAAGAAACTCTGCCCTAGTTGAGGAACTAGACATCTCCTCCAGAGTGTTTCTTTGCTGTCCTGTTCCTGCTGCAATAACTGCTGGGTAATTTGTGATGTCAGCACGTGAGTTTCACACTGTGCAGGGTGTTAGTTTTAGTTAGAGACACACTGTTGGTTTGGTGAGCCCTAAGTTGGATGCAGTTTCGCAGGAGGCAGTAAACAACCAGACTAATAGCCTGGTGGTGCTGGAGATGGAGGTTAGGGCACAGTACAATTCTGTGTAGGTAACCTGTTCCACTGATGAATTGCTCTCTCACAGGTGCCAAGCCAGTGTGTGGAAAGCCCTGTGTACCCCTCTCCCCCTGTGTACAGCCCTGGGAAGCAGGGGTTCAAGTCCAAGAGCACCAGTGCCCCCACAGCCCTGAGCAGCACAGGAGGAGGCACTGTGGTTGGGTTTGATTCCCCCTCTGCTGCCAAAACTCGGCGCTGCAAGAACGAGAGTGGGCTGCAGGAAGGTAAGTGTCCTCACAGCCCTGCCCTGCACTCATCTGGAGGCCACCATCCTTGGCCCATAGTGGACTGCCACAGTCCAGGCCCTTTTGGTGGCATTGCCTGTGCAGCTCTGCAAGAGGAACATGATACTCTGCACGAAACTGGCAAAAGCAGCTCAAAGTATCATAGTTTCATAGTATGTGAAGGAGTCGGAATGGAGCTTAGAGATCATCCAGCCCCAACCCCCTGCCCTGGGCAGGGACACCTCCCACCAGAACAGGTTGCTCAAGGCTTCAGCCAGCCTGGCTTTGAACACTGCCAGGGTTGGGGCAGCCACAGCCTTTCTGGGCCTCCTGTACCAGTGTCTCACCCCCCTCACAGGGAAAACTTCTTACTAATAGCTTATGTAAATTTCCCTCTTCCAATTTCTCCCCATTGCTCCTTGTCCTGTCCCTGCAGTTCCTAACCAAGAGTCCCTCTGCAGCTTTCCTGTGTGGCCAGGCAGACCTTACCCTTCCACAAGCTCTGTATTCTGGGTCCTGAGCAGTCATGTCTCGGGGTGAGGGACCCGTGACACAGTGGGGACAGGGCTGTGCCACAGGATCTCATTCTTGTCTGTGCTCTTGCTCTTTCAGGCAAGCCCAAGTCCCCCAAGCTGAAATGCACTTACTGTGACAAGGCCTTTACCAAGAACTTCGACCTGCAACAGCACATCAGAAGGTAATGGTGCCACTAACCCAGACACAGCAGAGAGGTTGGGGTGGAGGTGAGCACTGCTCTGTTGAGGGAGTCTGTGCAGTCCAGTTTGTCCTGTCCCAGAATCTGTGCTGCACTGGGAGGGAATCCTTCACCCCCCTCACCCCAGGACACCTCCCTAGTGAAGGGATGAAGGCTGCATCATGGATTTAATCTTGCTGGTTTTCCTCACTGATGAGACTTTGCCAGCCAAACCTGTTGTCACCTGATCACTGGAGCAGCAGCATCTCCACTGCTTGCCTCTGCCCTTTCCTCTCCCTCTCCAGCAAGCTGCAGCCTTCATGTTTGCTGCTGTTAGCAAACCATAAACCAAGCTCTGTGTCTATACAGGCAGCTCTAACCGGAGAGCTTTTCCTTGGCAAGAGGCAGCTGAAATCTTCAGTTTCCCCCCGCAGAGTCTGGTGGACTCAGGACATATGAGAAGGGACAAAGGGTGGATTTGTACCCCTTCCCAGCTTGATCTCACACAATGTACTCCATGTGTTGGAGCCTGGTCTTTCTCCTGAAGCAGAAGGGCAGGGTAGAGCAAATTCAGGGAGATCAGAGGGCTGCAAGCTAGAAGAGATGCATGCAGGGGCAGGAGGAAGGGGACAGGGAAGAAAAGGCTTGTGCCCCTGAGAAAGTGATGGGGTCCTCAAGGTCTGTGCAGAGACCCTGACAGTGAATGCCCTCATGTTGCTGCAGAGCTTTTTTCTTCTCCCACTTCTTCCTTTGATCCCTTGTCATCCCCAGGCCACGAGTGTTTTGTCTGTGTACCAGGCTAGTTTCTCCAGACTTCTCACAATCCAACTGCTCCTGTGAATCAGGTCTCAAAGCCCTTGTTTGGCTGCTCCAGGTGTGACCTAGCACTGTCCTGCAGCAGCCACCACACCACAGGCCCTGTCTGGGGCTGCCTCCTCTCTCCACCAGCTGCTGATTTGGTGCCTTCTGCCTTCAGTCACACAGGTGAGAAACCCTTCCAGTGCATCGTGTGTGGCAGAGCCTTTGCCCAGAAGTCCAATGTGAAGAAGCACATGCAGACCCACAAGGTGTGGCCTCCAGGGCTGGGCTGCACCATCTCTCGCAACTCCATCACGGTGCAGGTCATGGCCTTGAATCCCAATCAGCCAGAGGATGAGGAGAGCACAGGTTTGTCATGTGTGTGGGGCAGAGCAGGGTGTGAGGAGCCTGCAGGTCCCTGCACTTTCACACAGGGAGAGAGGGAGGGGAGTCAGAAGCTGTGTTTGCATCCTTTGGTGGGGTTTGGCACTCACATCAAGTTGTGTTTGCTCAGCTCCAGCTGGCAGCTGCATCCTTTTGTACCCTGAGCTGTGGTGGATTCAGGTGCTAGTGGAGGCAGTGACTCCAAACTGTGTGCCAGTAAGTGCATGCAGACAGGGCAAGGTCTCTCCCCCTCCTCACTCCCTGGCAGGTGCAGCTTTGGCAGTGCATGAGCCACACCTGACCTGGTCTAGTGGCTGGACAGTGGTTTGGGATAGCCCAAGACTCTGGCTTTGCAATGAGCAGCTCATGCCTGGGCTGGAGTTGGCCACAGTGGCCACCTGAAAATACTTGAGGCAGAGAAGAACTCCTTGCTGGTGTCTGGATGCCCTTTCTGCTGGTGGCCCCAGTCCTGGTGGGGAGGGAACACAGTGACAGTGTCTAGGCACATGGACCCAAAGGGAGCTGCTCTCTGTGGACTGAGCTAGTGGCTGGAATGTCCCTTCTGTCTCCTGCTGGGGATGGGAGTAAACCTGGCTCTGGTTCACTGGTGAGTGCCTGTTCTCTGACTTCTCCACAGTGCAGTTATATCCCTGGGTTAAGGAGAGGAAGAAAATGGGTTAGGGAAGAGGAAGAATGGGTTAGGAAGAAATCTGTTGACAAATTTAAACCCACCCTGTTAGTGAAATTGATGTGATCTAAAGACTATCCTTGAAAGGGAGGAGGAGTCTGGACACCCAGACCCTAGTGTGTCTCAGCAGCATGGTGCTTGCAGATCAGCCTTCAGAGCTGTCTCATGGCAGGCACTGACTTTCTCTCCCTTTCTCCAGGTTTGCCTCAGCCTCCAAGGAACCCTGCACCCCCTCCCCAAGACCTGAGCCCCTTGGATGAGAGTGAGGGGGACAAGCTGGAAGCCAAGCAGGTTGTCTTGATCGACAGCTCTTACCAGTGCCAGTTCTGCCCCAGCAAGTTCAACACCTATTTCCAGCTCAAATCACACATGACACAGCACAAGAATGAGCAGGTAGGGACAGAGGGTCCTTTGTGTTGGTGTCAAGATTGAGGTGGGCATCATACAGTGTACCAGCTCCCAGGGTCTGTCCTGAGCATCCTCTGCCCTCCCAAGTGGGGAGTCAGACAAGCAGGTTTGGGTGGCTGGAAAAGAAGCAAAGTATGACAAGTTCTGAGCCCCTCACTTCAAGAAAGACATTGAGGAATTGGAACATGTCCGGAGAAGGGAACAGAGCTGGGGAAGGGTCTGGAGCACAAGAAGCAGCTGAGTGAGCTCAGCCTGGAGAAAAGGAAGCACAGGGAGGACCTTCCTGCTCTCTGCAACTTCCTGACAGGAGGTACAGCCAGGTGGGGGTTCAGGCTCTGCTCCCAGGGAATAAGTGACAAGACAAGAGGAAATGGCCTCAAGCTGTGCCAGGGAAGGTTCAGGCTGGACATCAGCAGGAGTTCACTCACTGAAAGAGTGAGGTGGTCAGGCATTAGAAGGGGCTGCCCAGGAAGAGGGTGGAGTCACCATCCCTGGAAGTATTCAAGAAACAACTGGACACTTAGTGCTCTGGTGTAGTTGACAAAGTGCTGACTGGTCAAAGGTTGGACTTGATGACCTTGAAGGTGTTTTCTGATCTTAATGATTCTGTGAAGTCCAAAGTTCTCAGTGTAGGTGGCAGCTCTCAGGTTGTGGGACAGTCACCACTGGAGTGGTTTCAGGCCCTTACACCAGCACCCCTTTCTCCAGGCAGTGTCCTGACAGTCTGTATTCCTTTCCCAAAAGCAAGACCGCTCTGCCTGTAGGCAGAAGATTTTCCCTGGCTGTGCCTCTCCAGTCACTCTCCCTTCTCCCAGGTGTACAAATGTGTGGTGAAGACCTGTGCTCAGACCTTCCAGAAGTTGGAGTCCTTCCTTGAGCACATCAAGAGCCACCAGGAGGAGCTGAGCTACCGCTGCCACCTCTGCAGCAAGGACTTCCCCTCCCTGTACGAGCTGGGGGTGCACCAATACTCCCACAGCCTCCTGCCCCAGCACAGCCCCAAGAAGGACGTGGCCGTGTACAAGTACAGTAGCAATCGGTGCTCACAAGGCTTGTAGGAGTGAGTGGGTGCAGAGTGTGTTTGCTTGGGACATTAGAGGGAAGAGGGGGCTGTGTGGTCAGTGGTTGTGGTTCTTTTGGGCACCCAGGTGGCAAATTGGGGGCCAGGGACGAGCACTTTGAATGCAAGGGAATCTTTTGGAATGACAGTGAAAGGCTGTGTGGGAAGTCCTGCAAGTCCTCTTAGCAGAGTGAGATGGGCACAGCTGAACCTGCAGCAGTCCCAGGGAAGCCCCTTCCCAGCCTATTCTCTGTGACTCTTCAACACCTGCTGCTAAGCGAGTGCAGGTTGTAACTGCAGTGCCCAGAAAGAACCTCTTATCCCTTTGCTGCAAAAGGATCTGGCTAGAAAGCCTTTCTCCTAGTGTAGAGGAAAAGGCTGAGGAGTCCTACAGAAAACTCCCTGGAGCTTTTGAATGCCTGTAGAGATGTTCAGGAAGCATAGGAAGCTCAGAAGACACTGAAGTCACCTAGAAGCTTCATGGAATAAATAGCTGCTACTTCTTGTAATGGTCTATGGTTACCCTTGCACTACAGACCTTCATCCTTCAGCTTGCTGGTAGGATCTTTGAGACCTGAGCCCTGCTCATGTTTGAGGAGGTTCTAGTCTGACCTAAGGAGAAAGGGTTTCCCAGCAGGTATGTGGTGTGAGTGCCTCTACTCATTGCTGGTGGTGACTATCCCCACTGCCCACTATCAGTCACCTTTGGCAGAGGCCTCCAGTAGAAATTCTGCCTGGATAAATAACCCCTCTCATGCTGTGTCCACTCTCAGCTCCTTCTGGAGCAGTAAAGATGAAATCAGTGAAGATGGAAGGAGGTGTTTTAAGTAATGAAGTCGGTCCTTAGGACTTGTCTCCATGAGGAAGCAATGTGGGAGTCTGTGTGGAAGAGCACGAGAATTTAAAGGCCTCTCCACCTGGTTTTCCAGGATGTCCCCTCTGAAGGATGCTAAGTGTGAGTGTGAGCTGGCATGTGAATTGCTGAGTTTCACAGCTCCTGGGAGGTGGTGTTACTGTCTGTGCCAAACTGACCCTGTCAGAGCTCACCCTGGAAAGTGGCTGGTGGCTGGGCTGGGCAGGTCTGCTGCAGGAGCCTTGCTCACTGTGTCTGTCCTTGCTCTCCCCGTTCAGGTGTGTGAAGTGTGTCAATAAATACTCCACCCCAGAAGCCCTGGAGCATCATCTACAGACAGCAACTCACAACTTCCCCTGCCCTCACTGCCAGAAGGTGGGTGAGTGACCTGAGCCAGGCTTGGACACCTAGCTAGGGCTCTGAGGGGGACAGGAACCTTCAGCTCCCTTTCCTCTCCCTTCCTACCTCAGTACAGACTGACCAGGTCCCACAAGCTGCTTTCCAGAGGGACAGGGGTTGATCACACAGAGTGTGTTCCTGCCCTCAGTGCTGGCTCTCCTCCCAGCTCCCATTTGCTGAATAGGATGTGTCAGGGCAGCTCCCTTATTCCCACAGCAGCACAGGACTGCACACCAGGCTGCTGTCCTTACTTCTTTAAAGCAAGTGTGCTAGGAGGAGCAAGGCTGGTTTTGAGAAGCCTTTGACCCACCATTCCTGGCAACCTCTGGCTGAAAGAGTTGAGCATGGAAAGCCCTGAGTCCTGTGGGAGCTCCTACACCTCCACTGCTAACCTCATCTCCTGTTGCCATATAAATCTCTGGGTTCCCTCTCATTCCTCTTTTTTTGGATGAGTGCTCTGTGTCCTTGGCAAAGAGAAACCTGTCTGAGTGATGTGGCTGGGAGTGGAGCAATACCTGGGCAGGTTTTGGCTGGAAATTCTTCAGCACAGCCCCTGAGGGAGTTTGAGGGACAGAATTTTGTAGGGTTTGAATTCTGATAAATTCTTTTTTGAAATCCAGACTAAATTTTGGAACTTTTCTCCTCTGTTTGCCACAAAGGAAATGCAAATCCCACAGTGAGGGCAGGGCCAGTCTCGAGAGTGACCACTCTGTACTGAGGTAGCTCAGGAAGGGGAAACACTCCTGTCGTGGTTGGTGACACATCTTTCTTGCCTGTCTTCTCTCCACTTCTGAACCAGGTGATAGGTGCCCTTCTGAGCCTGGGTGGGACTGTCAGGGTTGGAAAGCTCATTATCTAGTAGGATTTATTACTTCTGTTTGTATGCTTACTAATATTGCTGGTTTCTGGAGATGTGAGCACAGGGTGGGTGCCAGAACTCAGCTCTCCTGTGCTCCCTTCAAGAGTGCTTGCAGCATGTCATTGGGAATTCACTTAGCTGGGTATTCCCAGTATCCCCATTAGCCAAAGGAGCCACTCTTCCTGGCTTTCTAAAGACCAGGAATGAGAGCCTTTGGTAACAGATTACGAAGAAGCAGAAAGTGAAGTTAATTCTGTGGGAAGGTGATAACTACAGCTGGTTTGGGTGGGAGACAGCATCCAGTTGGGGGGCTGGTCCTCAGCACTGTGGTGTTACACCATTAACAGCAAGATTTCATCTTATGTGTTAAGGATGAGAAGGTTTGGAGGTTGGTTTGTTTGTTTTTAAAGCTCTGTCAGTATTTTCTTTATACAGTTCTGGATATTTTCTCAGTACATCCTGAGAAAACAGTGACTGTGGGCTTCTTGCTCACCTGAAAGGTAGTGGAAGTTCACGAGATCCCTGGAAGTGTTCCAGGCCAGGTTGGACAGGGCTTGGAGCAAGGTGGGCTAGTGGAAGGTGTCCCTGCCCATGGCAGGAGGGGGAACGAGATGAGTTTTAAAGTCCTGCCAACCCAAACCTTTCTATGATTCTTATGCTTTCTATAGAGGCTCCACTGCCCTTGCCAGCTCTGTGCTGTCCCTGTGTGCTGCTGCCTCTCAGCCCTGTGTCTGTGTGTTGCAGGTGTTCCCCTGTGAGAGGTACCTGCGCCGCCACATTCCCACGCACGGAGCGGGCAGCAAGTTCAAGTGCCAGATCTGCAAGAAGTTCTTCCGCCGGGAGCACTACCTCAAGCTGCATGCACACATCCACTCGGGTACAGCCTCCCCTCTGCTCCACAGCCCTGCCTGCCCTTTGTAATGCCCTTCCTGGCTGTTTTCCTGATCATGGGAATGGCAGTTGACTCTATTTGTAGTGATGTGGGTTCAGGAGATGTGTGGTTTTGGTTCGGCCTCGTGCCCAGTGCTGCACCAGTGGGACACACAGGTGGCTTCCCCACTGCCTGTGGCTGCAGAGCCTAAGGAATATTAGAAAGAAGATTTTGTATTACGAAGAAGTTTATTAATGTGAGAGTGGTAAGTCACTGGAACAAGTTGTGCAACTCAGTGTACACTCACAGCCTGGAAAGCCAACTGAATCCTGAGCTGCACCAAAAGGAGTGTGGCAGCAGATGAGGGAAGGGATTCTCTCCCTCTGCTCTGCTCTTGTGAGACCCACCTGAAGTGCTGCACACACTTCTGGTGTCCCCACATCAGGACATGGAACTGTTGGAGCAAGTTCAGAGAAGGCAACAAAGCTGATGAGAGGACTGGAGCACCTTCCCTACGAGGACAGGCTGAGAGTGTTGGGGCTGTTCAGCCTGGAGAAGAGAGGGTTGTGTGGAGACCTCAGAGCAACCTGCCAGGAGCTGAAGGGGCTCCAGGGAAGCTGCAGAGGGACTCTTGGTTAGGAACTGCAGGGACAGGACAAGGAGTAATGGGCATAAATTGGAAAAGGGAAAGTTAGATTATGTACCAAGAAGTTTTCCCTGTGAGGGTGGTGAGACACAGGCACAGGCTGCCCAGGGGGGCTGTGGCTGCCCTACACTTGGCAGTGTTCAAAGCCAGGTTGGCTCAAGCCTTGAGCAACCCGTTCTCATGGGAAGTGTCCCTGCCCAGGGCAGGGGTTTAGACTGGAAGATCTCTATGGTCCATTCCAGCCCCTTAACATACTATGATTCTATGATGAATTTGGCCCTGGAGAGCAGCAGCAGTGTGCAGGGCGGATTCTACCTATCTGTTTATCCGTCAGGCTTGGGCAAGTTCAGAGCATGGCACAGCTGCCGCAGTGAATCCTGTACGTGTCTAGAGCAGCCCTGTGTGACTGACTCTCCCTTGGTCTCTCTCTGCTCCCAGGTGAGAAGCCCTTTAAGTGCTCAGTGTGCGACGCAGCCTTCAACCGGAAGGACAAGCTCAAGCGGCACATGCTGATCCATGAGCCCTACAAGAAATACAAATGTCCCTTCTCGTATGTAGTAGCATGCCAACATGTCTGAATGGGGTTGGGATGGAGTTTGAGATGGGGTCTGGGATGGAAGAAATGTCTCCTGTGGGTAGCCAAGGGTACCTGTGTGGCATCTACCATCCACTGCTTCTTGGGGAGGTGGGAATGCTGTGTAGGAACCCAGAACTCCCAACTCTTTGTCACTGACTTTCTGTGAGGCCAGATAATGCCCACCCTCATGGGAGGCTTGGGGGAGCACCTGGGGAGCACTGGGGAAGAGAAGGACCATTATTTGGGCACAGGTTGCCTGGATGATGGGCTCTCCCTGGCTGCCCTGTCCCCGAAAGCACTTGGCAGCATAGGACCTGGTGTACAAGCCAGAGAAAGCCAGGTTTGGAAGGTGCATCCCCATGAGCCTCCTGAGATAGCCAAGTCTGACAGGCTTCTCCCTGCTCCAACCACCTTGTACTCCTTCCAGAATACTTGTCTCCAGCTGGGATCTCAAATGTGCTGCGTTTAGGAGCATTCACAGTGAGACGCAGACCGTGTGTAGTCTAGGAGAAGCCACATGTCCCTGTAGCAGCCTGTTTATTCCTTGCCCTCC